CCCCCCCCTTCCTTCCCCAATCAATCCTGCACCCCGCGCTCCACTCCCCGCGGCCTATTCTGTCGCGACAGAAGGGAGGAAATTTATGCCGATTTCGACAGACGAAGATCCCCTTTCCTTCCCTCTCGTCGTCCCCCGCGCCTCTGCACGCGGTACAATGTGACCTGAGAATGCGGACACCTGTCCGATGAGGACGGTGGAACCACCTCCGCCTCACACCGCCACGCCGCGCCCCACAGCGCCCCACCACGCCATCGTCCCTCTGCTGCTGCCGGGGAGGATTTGTAGGTCTTGTTATCTCCACTTTCGACAAGTATTGGAAAATGGCTCCGCAATGGGTGTAATTTATCGCAGATATTCCGTCAGCAGGGAGCAGGGAGGAAGCTGGGGGACGCGCTGGCGCTGCCCGCTGCCGGACCGGGCGCTCCCGGGAGACTCGCGCCTCCCGGAACCGCTCAGAACCGGAACCACCTGGCCGGCCCGTGAAAATGGCGCGCCTTTCAAACGGATTTATATTTATTAATTTTGCTTCGGGCTTCAGAGGAGGGTGGCAGGGGCACCAGGAGGAGACGGAGACGGAGGAGGGGGAAGAGGGGGCAAGATTAAGCACACATTGTTTTCTTGACAGGAGCTGGACCGAGGAGGCTGGGCCGGGGGTGCGTCGCGGGGCGTGGCAGCGTGGCGTAGCCGTATAGCGTGCCCGCCGACCATCATGTCACGTTAATTATGAGCTCCAGGGTGTATTGGGGAGACGAGGTGGAAGCAGGGGTGGCGGGGGAGTCGGCACACGCTCACAGCGAAGCCCGTAGCTATGAATCGCGAGCTACCGAAAGGCGCAGAGTCGCTCTGCTATGATCAAACAGAACGGGGTGACGGCGAGGAGGGTGTCGGTGATGGACCTGGCGGGCGCGAAAGTTTGGCGACCACAGCTGCGGAGGCCTGGTCAGCCATTTCATTATCCGGCCCCATGTCAGCGACCCGCCGCGCAGCACCGGAGGGGAAAGGGTGACAGAAAGACGCGTGTTTTGGGATTCTTTGTGCTGCTGGTGTAATGCGCTTTGTTTCTAATATGCATGTGTGTTTCCATACATGCCTCGTGTAGAGAGAGATGG